AAAATAATTCTTTGAACAAAAATTTGAAATAAATTTTTCGAATTTTCAAAATGTACAATCTCAAATAAAGCATCTAGATACTTGAAAATTTTTTGCAATTTAGTTTTTTTCAAAAATTATAATTTTAAACTACTATTTTTTCTTAATTTTATCTCTATTTAACAAAAAAATTTATTTCCAAAAAAAAACAAATTATTTAAATAATTGTAATAATTATAACTAAATATATTCATATTCAAAGCGTTGAAATATATACGTAAACAAATTTTTTCATTGAAAAAATGTAATAGCATAGGATGAAATATACAGTATATTTAATGTATAAATAATCAACTTTGTTTATAACAAAATTGTGCAAATTAGACAGTTGGATCCCGAGACATCGGATTAAAAATAAAAAGTTGGAAATTGGTCCATTATAGTACGATCGTATACGATGCAAAGTAGAGCAAAAAATTGTCGGTCTTTTATCAAAGGAAAATCGTGTCATCATTTTTAGGAGGCGTAAGATGAACCGTTTCAAATTTAAAATGAAATTGAATGTAAAATCTGAAATACCGCCGCATACGCACTGTGTTCTGGTACTAGCTGTAGTCGGCCAGGTGCATCGAGTGTACGAAGTGGTCGGTTATACGTCAAATACTAACCTGGCGAGCTTGATCGTAGAGCAGGGAACAATAAACAGTGGCGCGTACAGAGGTGAAATGTAGTACATATGTGGAATTTAAATAACGAATTGGATTTATAATAAATTACATTTAAAACAAATAGTTTATGAGAATAAAGGGATTTTTGTAGGAACAGGGTTCCAGACGTGAACTGATCTCTTCATCGCACCCCATTACGATTCTTTTTTTTATAAGGAGAACGAAGTTTCAAAGCAAAAACCTTGTATAACAGATATACTATAAATATTTACAGAATGAAAACAAAATATAAATCCTATGATATGATTCTATCAAATGAAAACACTAACAACAATTCTCTACCAATCTCAACAAAATAAGTTATTTTTCTATCAAACAAGAAACGTTAACAAATTATAAACAAAATATAAATTCTATGATTTATGTACTGTACGCCAAACTGCATTTTTCTCATCTTCATTTAATATTAATTTCTTCTTTGCACCCCCTTTTTTAGGTTTCTTAACGCCTCCTTCAATTTTCTTCTCTCTTAAAATTTTGAAAACAGATAATTCGCTTACTCCAGTATATCCAGAACACATTTCCACCAAACCAGTCTTCAGTTTCATGGGATGATCCTTTTCTAAAGGGTTATAGACATTTAATATTATCGTTTTTTCTCTGTGACTTAATATAGAATTTTTTGTACCCACACCAGTACATCCGGCTCGCGAACATCCAGGCACCGCCTCCATTTATCCATATAACGACAACAGAGCAATAATAATACAAAAAACTTCACTTCACTAGCACAGAAAATATAATAGCATTCACGATTCACAAACAACAGCCCGAAACACACATACAGCACACAAATAAAACACTAAAAACTCTTTTGTTACGGAGCACAAGAAATATGATTTCACTCACATATTCTCAAATAATAGCGCGAAACACACATATAGCCCGAAAGAAATATAATTGCACTTATAACAGTTATAACCTCACAAATATCGCGAGCGAGAAACACGCAGCACCAATACAACCGAAACGAAAGTGACCACGCCAGGCCGGCACGCGCGCCGCCGCAAAAAACACAAGACACAAGTCATATGAGGGATAATGAAGGGAGTAATAAATGTATAGTTGTCCTGCCGCCCAATGTGCGAAGGAGATGCCTTTGGTTTTCATTTTGTCCTTCATAAATATATAACTGTTAATCCATAATGCATAAAGAAATTATTCAATTTCCAAAACCCCCTATAAAATGTGTTGCACTGATTCCCTTGACAGGCAATGATTTATTACTTTGCATCGAATACGATCGTACTATAGAAGCCGAGATAATGTAATTTTTTTCGTACCTTCGCATTTTGAACCTCCGAATTCAATCTCGGAGCGAAAGCCCCCTCACCCACTTTTCGTGTTTTGAGTCACTTTTCGCGTGTGGGAGCGATAGCTTTTCCGCTGATTTATCGATGTTGCCGATAACTTATGGATATGAACATATTTTCCAGTTTAGAACTCGGAAAAATGAAGACACTGGATCAAAGATTATTGCCAAATTGTTTATAAATTAACGGTAAATGCCGATAAACTTTGACCGCTTATATTTCGAGGACCAATAAACGGAATTTAACTTTTTTTTTAAAGAAGTGTGTTTCCGAGTACTTTAAAATTATAATTTTTGAAAAAAACTATATTGCAAATTGATAAATGTAATCTAATTGTTGACTTTAAAAATTTACTGTGGTCGTCCTAATCAACCGATTTCAATTTTTCAAAAACCATTTGAAAGGTTGGGCGGTCTTTACTAACTATGTGAAAAAAATTTCAAGTACCTAGATGCTTTATTTGAGGCTGTGCAACATTTTGAAAATTCGAAATTTTTTTCAAAAAATTATTTTGCGAAAACTATAATGAACATTTTAATGAATATTGGTGTGTTGTTTTATTATAGGTACTTTAAAGTTTTTTTTTTACTAAAATTAGAATGCCCTCGGAGCAATTAAAATATTTTTAAAAGATTATCCAAAAAACCTTTTGCCTTTTCTACATCAATTACTGCTATTTTGCAACATCGGTAATAAGTTTAAACATTTTTAACATACTGTATATTGTGCAAATTCAATTCTAAAACTTTTTTCCTCTTCGATATTCTTCCAAAATGCATATGTTCCAAGATATAAGTAAACAATTGAGATAAAATAGGTATTTTTTGCAATTTTGAAAATGTTTCGGACCTCGCTCATATCTAAGGATCTACACATTTATTATGCGAGTTGTACTGAAGGTATTCCAGCAAAAATTAGCATGCCCTCTCTTACATCCAAGAACTGGGATATTTCTACAGATCCGCAATGGTCTATAGATGCAAATACGTATTTCATCTTTGAGTTTGAGGACAGTTTAGAAATTGACTTCTATGGCTATTACACAAAAAATGTATCCTTTTAACAGGAAAAATAATAAGCAGGGTGGTCCAGTTTCCGATGCAGAAACTTCAGGGACCGATAGAGATTCAGAAAATAATATGACTTTGCTGTATAAACCATGTATTCGACAAATGTTTCGTTAAAGGAAGTACAAGGTGTTCTAGATCGGTTTAAAAAGAAAACAAATTTATGAATTGCTGCCGAACGGTTAAAGATATTTCAGTTAAATTTTTTAGACGTTAACTATCATCGAAGGAGCACGTTTTGCAAAGAAAAACCTCATTTTTAGTTTTGCCAGTGGCGTCCGTACTAGCACGTTACTGGATAATTCTAAAGAAAAAATTGGTACGCCACTGCTTTGTCATAAAATAAAAATCAGTTTTGGATTCTTCATTCAATTTAGAAGGAAAAAGCTCGCTTTCGATTTTTCTATACGACTCAGCGTTTTCGAGTAAAAAAATCAAAAACCCATTAAACAAAATATTGCCATTGTACAGCCTGTATATAGGGTGGTCGCGACGTAATGGTCCAAAATTCATGGGTAGATTCCCCAAGTAAAAATATTGCGATTTAGCCGAACTTAGTCCAAAAGTTGATAGTTAAAGAGATACAGAGTGTTAAATGTAAAATATTATTTCAGTTTTTTTTAATTTATTCCATACCAAATGCAAATATCCTCACAAAATTTTGGGGATTGGAGTTCGTTGAGTAGAGGAATTGAAATCTGTTCACATTTTGGTTAAAGTTCATAGAGGGCGCTAGCTGCAGTAGATTGAATGTGTTAAAAACGACATAACTTTTTTGTGCTTTAAGGTATCTCATCTTTGGTTACAAATTCTTATTTTCCAACTATTTTTACACAAAAAAGGTAGACTTTATGAAAGTAGCTGTCTCGCACCGTTTCCGAGATATTTGGCTTTGAAACTTCCAATGCTAATAGTTGAAATAATTAAAATAATTTAGAAATGTCAAAAACAAGGGTTTATTTAGAATTAAAAATTGTAATGAACAGTAAAATAGTAAACATTAGTAAAAAAATATGCCTTTTTGACAATAATTGCTTAAAATATCCACCTCTAACTTCAATACATTTATCAACACGTTTATTAAAAGATTGTCTTATTTTAAAGTATAAATCCTTAATGCGAAATGACTTTGCAGCATTTAAAACCTGCTACTAAAGTTCTTCTCAAGTGTTTATAGTTTCTCCATAAACAACTGATTTCATGTAACTCCAAAAACGAAAACCTCGGCATTCTATCTCACATTTATGTATACGAGTATACAATTTAATTTGTAAGCTAAGATGTAATTTTAATTAGATACGAATAATACTTAATAGAAATTAGCATACAAATGACAGCAATAAGACAAGTGGAAGACGTCAATTATTTGATTTTCGTCCAAATCCTACTTAAGAAACTTTACCGCTAAATTAATAATACCTGTAGGTACTTAATTGTAATTTAATGCAACAGCATTGGAAGTTTCAAAGCCAAATATCTCGAAAACGGTGCGAGATAGCTACTTTAATAAAGTATACCTTTTTTGTGTAAAAAAAGTTGAAAAATAAGAATTTGTTACCAAAGATGAGATACCTTAAAGTACAAAAAAGTTATGTCGTTTTTAACACATTCAATCTACTGCAGCTAGCGCCCTCTATGAACTTTAACCAAAATGTGAACAGATTTCAATTCCTCTACTCAACGAACTCCAATCCCCAAAATTTTGTGAGGATATTTGCATTTGTTAAAGAATAAATTAAAAAAAACTGAAATAATATTTTACATTTAACACCCTGTATCTCTTTAACTATCAACTTTTGGACAAAGGTAAGTTCGGCTAAATCGCAATATTTTTACTTGGGGAATCTACCCATGAATTTTGGCCCATTACGTCGCGACCACCCTGTATATTTTATTCTGACGTGTCTTTTCAGCGTATTCGCACAATTTGATGGCGGCGTGGGTGCCGATCATAAGGACGGATATCTGCAAGATGCCCCACGTGTACGATACCACCCTGTCAGAGGGGATGATCTGCGCCGGATTTTTGAGTGGCGGTGTTGACAGTTGCCACGGGGACAGCGGGGGGCCTTTGGCCTGCCTAGACAATGGTAACATACTTGATTTAAGGATTATTCATGAAATGCAACGCGATTTTTTCAGGTTTGTTTACTTTATACGGAATTACGTCATGGGGGCACCGTTGCGGCTTCGCCAACAAGCCCGGGGTGTACGTTAAAGTTGCCCACTACAGGAAGTGGATCGACGACACCATAACGAACAATTCTTGAAGAAGTATACTGACCGAATATACATATTCTTTAATATGTTTCAAATAATAAGAATTGTACAGATTTAATAATTTAAGGAAATAAATTTAATGTAGAATTAAGATACCTATTACCACAGACAAAATAGCTATCGCCACAGACTGCTCCTGGAATAGGCCGGCAGTTTTAAATTTCCGAATTGCCGGTAGAGTACACCACCAGCATAATTTTAGGAAGAATCAAATACAGCGGCCCGCATACTTAAGCGTATCCTAGCAACATATAAACAAGACTTTGGTAATGTTGCCAGGCGTACTTACGGATTTCTTTTGTACACTTTTTTTATCAATATCTGTTTTTTGCGATACTATATTTACTTCAATGTACGATGTAGGTATTGATAAAAATGTTTTTAAAGAATCAACGAATATCTATGTATGTATCATATGACATTCTGCAGTGGTGTTACAATTAAGTTATTTTATCACAATTTCGTTAATTAGCTACCTACTATTTTTATTTTTTGGTATTGAAATACTGCAGAAAATATATTTCCAAATAAACAAAATTCGTAATAATATTTTAAACAGCTTGTAATATATTTTTTTTAATATTTGAAGATGACGATAAATTTATTTAATATACAAGGTGGGTTATTAGTACGTCGCGGATGTAGGTACAGGTTTTTTTTTTTTATTTTGACATCCACTTATAGGTTTAATAATTAAAGATAGAGAGAAACTTTAAATACAAATGTACGACTTTTCCTTTATTTCATTTGACATCAAAATTTACTGGCATAAAATATATATGTTTAAAATAAAAAAAATCATTAAAAAAAATCATTAAAAAAAATAAAATTCATCCTTATGAAAATAACAAACAACGCTTTTTATAACTCAGCAACATAAGGAGAATAACTAAAAACTAAATAACATTAATATACCTACAATTTTTACAAATCAACATGCAAGTGATTGTGATGACACAGTTGAAAATATGTAACAATTTACTATTAATTGCTTCAAAAACAAGGAGCCAAGATAAGATTTTTTTTTAAATCGTAGCGCAATTGTTTATAAACATTAAGACTTGAATTTTTCGCAAAATAAAGTTTACGACGTAAACTACGATTTTCCGTGAATTGCATTGAAAAATGTGGAAAATTAACGACTCATGAGCCCTTTAAAGAGAAGGTACTTGCTAAGTAAACTGTTCGGCGTGATGATGGGGATGTCCAAATTGATGCGCGCTGTAAATTTTGCAATATCTCGGCTTCTATTCATCGTAGAAATTTCTTTTTTTTTTAATCTGGGGTAGCTCGACGAAAAAATAACAATGGGCATATTTACGAATTCGTAGAATAGCCCTGAACCCCAGAAAAAATGCATATTTTATACTGATTTTTTTTTAATTTACAAAAATGTCACAAAAATAATTGTTAAACGAAATATTAATTAAAATTTCAATTTCGGAATTATTTTACTATTATTAAATAAATAAATGAGGCTATTGTTCATTTAAAAAGTTATTTTTTTATATATTAAGCCAAAGTAAACTTATTTTTTCAATATTTTGTGTTATTTAATTACGATTTAAATGTAAAATTAAAGTAAAAATTCACAAATTGTTTTCAAATTATTATTTATTGTTAAAATATTTAAAAAAGGATAAAAAGCATTTGAATTTACTGCAAAATTCTCAAAATTATAAAATATTAAAAATAATTCGGTCGATAAAATTACAATTTTAACTTCTTGAAATTTTAATGTATAAAGTTTTTTTATACAAAAAAAATGTTTGCAACATAAACAAAATGAATTCAAAAAATATTAATCACAACCATTTTCAATAATACAACAATTTAAAATTTAAAGTTTTTTCTATTTTTATGAAAAGTAACTTTTTAAATGAACGATAGCTTCATTTATTTATTAATAATAGTAAAATAATTCCGATATTGAAATTTTAATTAATATTTCGTTTAACAATAATTTTTGTGACATTTTTGTATATTAAAAAAATTCAGTTTAAAAGATGCATTTTTTCTGGGGTTCAGGACCATTCTACAAATTCGTAAATATCCATTGTTATTTTTTGTTGAGCTACCCCTGTTTTTTAAAAAAAAGAAGTTTCTATGATGAGTAGAAGCCGAGATATTGCAAAGTTTTTCCAGCGCGCATCAATTTGAACTTTGGATTTCAATTTTCTCGTGCGCGCGACTCGCTTGGACGAGTTTCCCCCACCACCACGCCGGACATTTTACTTAGCAAGTACCTTCTCTTTAAAAGGTTTGTGAGTCGTTAATTTTCCACATTTTTCAATGCAATTCACGGGAAATCGTAGTTTACGTACGTTTAAACAACAATTATTTTTAAAATATGTCAAAAATTAGTAATATAATGAGTTAATTTCTCATTTGCTTATATTATAAAACAATAAATAATATTTGAATTATATTTGATCGGCTATAACTACGTAAATAATTGACCAATCGATCTGTTTTTTTTAAGAATCCAATAACTTTTAAAACCTGCTTTAATAAATTTGAAAAGTTATTCTAATTGTTTATAAGTACAAAAATTCGGCCAATGTCTAAACAAACACCAGAGCTCTTATAATTGACGGATGCAAATTTTTCAAAAGGCGTTTGAAAGCGTAAGAGCCCTTCTATCTGTAATTAAATTTTCAAGTATCTAAGGGCCTTGGTTTTTGCTGTGCAAAATTTTGAAAATTTGCAAATTTTTTTTCGAAATCAGGATTGCAAAATTATTATGCAAAATCTATCTAACCGATTTTGATGAAATTTGGTGTGATGATTCTACATAACACGAAGTTTTCTTGAGCCAAGTATGAAGGTCCTATACCCAATTTAAAGACCCCAAAAATATTCCTGAAGAAGTAATGTTTTTTAACCATATTTTTGGCAATTTTTTCGATTTTTACCATAATAGTCATGATTCATTCGATTTGTATGTAGTCATATTTTGTAAAATTTAATTACAAACATTTTTTCCTTTTCCATTTTCGCCTAAAATCAACTCTTGAAAAGATACATAATTAAATTGAAAGAAAAATATGACAAGTTTCGAATTTTTTCAACATATTGTGCCGCCAATAGTTAAGCCCACGTTTTATTTTATGCGCATAGAAAAATTTTCATTTCTAGTGACATTTGAAAGCCAAAAAGCCAAAAATCTCCGTGGATATACGATTCACCCAAACCAAAACCGATACCGCCTAGTCTAAAAAGTGAGGAGTGAAATGTTAAAAAATAATTGCAAGGCACAGTGTCAGGTAAAAATCGCAACAATGACAAACAATCCCCCGACCACCGGCAACACTTTGACAGCTGCTTCTGTCACTGTGTCACTTCCATTCAACATCACACCACCTCCCTCGCCCGATTCAATAAAAATTCCGAAAAAAGTCGGCGTCAAACCAGAAGAAAAACGCTTTCCCCCGAACCATGGCGAAAATCGGCATCAACGGCTTCGGCCGGATAGGCAGGATATTCCTACGAGCGGCCATCGAGAAGAAGGCCGAAGTGACGGCCATCAACCAGCCTCACCACGAGCCCAAGTACCTGGCGTACCTCTTCAAACACGACTCCGTGCACGGGAGATTCGACGGCGAAGTCTGCGCCGACGACAATCACCTCATAGTGAACAACCAGAAGATCGTGATATTCAAGGAAGAGGACGGGAAGAAGGTAAACTGGAAGCAGGCCGGCGCCGAGTACGTGATGGATTGCTCGGGAAGGTACACCACGGTGGATAAGGCGTCCGCTTTCCTCCAGGGAGGCGCAAAGAAGGTTATAATCTCGGCCCCGTCCAAGGACGCTCCCATGTATGTTCCGGGGGTCAACATGTGCTGCTACAAGACGACGGATAAGGTAGGGGAACGTTGATTTTAAAGTACAGGGAGATTTTTGGGAATAGTCCAGTCACTGAAGACGAAAATAAAGTAAAAGCTCCCAATTTTTTTCGGATAGCGTGGATTTTCCTGAAAATTTGCATTCAAGCTCATCTGACCCGCCACTTCAAAAGTTATATTGTCTAGACGTGTGCTATTTTCTATTTGGGGGTGAAAACTACCCTTGTACGAAAAAAATGCGAAAATTGCAGATTTACGTATTTTAAAGATTCAATTAATGTTCAGATATGTTGGATAAAGTTCCTTTCATGTTTTTTAATATAATTTATGAAATTTAATTACTTTTCAACCCTTATAGCCCAGTCGGGTTGTCATTTAACCGGGAAATAATTAGGGACCACAATTTTATTGTTCTAACCTTTAGGGGGGGTCAATAGTAGTGTAAATTCAGAATCGCGACTGAATTCCACCCCTGCGTCAGCCGCCCTCTTGAATTTAAGGAAAAATCGTTTTTGCTCAATATCTCGGCCATTTTCAACTTTACAACAAAAATGGTAAGGCCTTAAGTTGTTGCAAATGCGATTTCCTACAACTTCTTTTATTACAAATTTTATCGTGCGATCGATATTTTTCAAGTTAAGGGGGAAAATAGTGACAAAGTATAATTATTGAATTATCTCGTTTGTTATTGACTTTACGACATAAATATACATAAACAAAGTTGGAAAGAATTATATTTTCTACAATTTTGATCTCTTTGATTTTTTCGCTACTACCAAAATTTAAGGTCCTACGCCTATGGCAAGCCTAACTAAACTCAAGGGATCAACATTCCATAGGCCTGACGTCTCCGCAAGCGTAGGACCTTAAATGTTGGTAGTAGCGAAAAAATCAAAGAGATCAAAATTGTAGAAAATATAATTCTTTCCAACTTTGTTTATGTATATTTATGTCGTAAAGTCAATAACAAACGAGATAATTCAATAATTATACTTTGTCACTATTTTCCCCCTTAACTTGAAAAATATCGATCGCACGATAAAACTTGTAATAAAAGAAGTTGTAGGAAATCGCATTTGCAACAACTTAAATTGTTACCATTTTTGTTGTAAAGTTGAAAATGGCCGAGATATTGAGCAAAAACGATTTTCCCTCAAATTCAAGATGGCGGCTGACGCAGGGGTGGAATTCAGTAGCGATTCTGAATTTACACTACTATTGACCCCCCCTAAAGGTAAGAACAATAAATTTGTGGTCCCTAATTTTTTCCCGGTTAAGCCCTTTGTTTGTCTAACCCGACTGGAGTATTAAAAATCCTTAAAAACTATCCTTCCATAGTTAAAAAAATAGGAAAAAAAGTTTTTAACAGTTTAAAATATTCTTTTGGTGTATTCACAATGTATTGCATTTCTTTTGTTATTCATTAGAAAGCTTACGACTCATTGCAAAGTTGCAAACCTTAAAAACCAATAAAATAAACAAAAAAATATTATTGAAAGCTTGAGATGTTTTAATGGTATGCATATGTTGAATTATAAACTTTCTATTGGTTTTCAAATGATCTATGACATATTGCAACTTTTCAGCCACCCAAAAAACCCTTATGGAAAAACTACCCCTCATAAAAAACTCTATTATATGTGAGAATGATGATATAATTATTTTTTTTAATTTTATTGAATTTATTCTTAATATTTTTTTATTAAATTTATATCAAATAAAAAACAAATTATATACATTATAAATGGATACGTGTGTGTATGTATATTATTAAAATAATTACTCAAATCAGTTCACAAGTGCTCCAAAATACACAAAGATGATGGTAATTTATCTGCACCGAAAATTCTACCGAAAAAATGCGATTAATTTTTTTACCATAACTTCTGTAATTTTAAAGTTATAAATTTACTCAAAAAACCATTTTGTTAGGAATTTAAAGCACTTTAAGTTCTGTGATTCGCAGTTTTTTTGAATCCTTCGTTTTTTAGATTTGTAAACTAAAAGGGCCCAGGAAAGGTAGTCTTGGAGCTTAGTTTTGAGCTTCCAACGGTCATAATTCAGTCAAATTTTGTTCTACAAAAATTAAAAAAAAGCAAATTGTTCAGTAAGAAAAAAACTACAATTTCTTACTCTATCATTTTTTTTATAACTTTGTTAGTTTTTGAATTATTTTGAAAATAGGCGATTTTTTAAAAAATTTAAAAATTTTAATCAAAAGTAAATGAAATTTTTTTTTAAATTGAGGCTTCTAAAATCGTTCAAATTTCCAGAATCTACTGTTGCAGAAGAAATACTTTTAATTTTTTTTCCGTCAAGTCATTAATTTTAATACCGATTTTTTTTCTCAAAAATCAAGACAATAATTTTATTTTCATTGTAACTTCATTAGTTTTCATGCTAACGACTTCTACCACCACTCCATTTAAAGGTCTTTTTAAGAACTTTAATAGGTGTTATATAAGTTTTCCTCGAAAAACCTTAAATTTTTCCGCTACAGGACGTTGAACGTTTCGATCATAGCTATCTTCGAAATTGACTTCAACTTTTGGAAGTCATAACTCGGGTTCTATACCATCTACAAAAATAAAAAAGGCAATCTCTTTGCTATTTAATTACCTTCATTTTTGCTTATGATCATTTTTTTGATAAAACTTGTAGTTTTTGAGATATTCGCGAAAAATGGCTCAAAAGCATGCATGTTTCTGGCTAAAAACGAACATACTTAGGCGCAAATAACTCAAAAAGCATTTACTGTACAAAAAAATTCTTGTAGAACATTTTTTGGTTAGAATTCGTCCCTCTATCGAGTCGTGAGGTTATTTTTAATAAAAAAATTTCCACTCTCCAGAAGGGGTGACATCCACCTCTAGGGTAAAAGCACACATCGGCACTATATAACTTTTATTTCTTGGGCTATTCCCTAGCTACAGTTCAAATTTCACGTCAATCCATTCCATCCGAAAAAATTGGTAGCCATAATGCTTCAGTGACTGGACTAGAATGGAACACATTTAGTAAAACAAAATTTAAAAAAATGAGATAACCTGGAGACCCCACTAGGTTTTCCACCTAGAAAATATCGGAATTAAAAAAAAAACATAAAACCTGAGACAAGTCGATTTTTTTTCAAGGACACGTGATGGCGTAAGTTTTGGTGTCTTTGTTGAGAAATTGTTGAAGAATTTCGTCAGATAACGTATGAAATGCTTCGAAATTAATTTATTTATTTAGAAGTTACAACATCCAATGGTACAAAGTCCCAATTACGAGATAAGGTAAAACAGAAAACTTTAACTAAATTTTAAAAGAAAAAGACAAACTAACATTAAATATAAATACTACATAAAATAGAGCAATCAAAATATAAAATATAAAATCCAGACAAAGAACTTAAGGATAAACAATAACATACAAATAAAACAAATAAGCTAACTAACATATACAAGATAAGGATTACATTTACTAGACAAACAATATTTTTATGTCATTCATAGAATGAAAAATTATATCAAGTCGATCTTCATAGTTCTGGTACTTAATTGGAAATCATTTGATATAGGGGGATGCTATTAGTAAATTGGTACGAGGTGTTGGGTAAAACGGAGTGAAATCTAAAATTAAGTCTAGGGACATGATATAAAATCCTTGAGACTAACGTGTCTGCATTTAAAGTGTTTTTTATGATTTTAAAAAGAAATATAATTGAAAACATAATTCGCCTACGACAGATACTATTAAAATTAAAACTAGAAGGCAATAAATCTGAGGTGTACCACGAGGAGGATAAAATCCATAACTAATAAAACGAATAGTCTTTAAAAATCTCCGTTGTACTTTCTCTAATTGAATATTATAAATATTATAAATGGGACTCCAAATAACCGATGCATATTGAAGTTTGCAACGCACAAATGCCGCATACAATATATTTAGAACCTTTACGTTCTGAAAGTCCTTAGAATTACGTAAAATAAAGCCTAAATTCTTATAAGCAGATTCGGTTACTAAACTAATGTGGTCGTCAAACGATAATCTGGTATCGAAGGTAACACCAAGGTCAGTAAATTGCGTAACTCTATTTTGTAACTTGAGGGGTTATTTCTTTAATTATTATCTATCTACCGTTATGACCAGTATCATAACGAGTCTGGATTTCAAAATAGTTTACTATTTAATTCTCGAAAGGAAGTTTATAATTATCATTACCTTTTAATTAATACGTGGGAACTTACAAATGTTGTACGTTCAGAGAATGAATTTTAGGCACTTACCCTCTATTGCTTACGTAGAATGTAATTCAGTGGCTGGCTATACAGGGTGACACTGAAGTTGAGAGAAACAAAAGGAAAGTCGACTGGTCAATGCGGAACCTAAGGAAGAACTTACTTTTTTTCGTAGATCTCTCCTGAATTCGACACTTCGCTTCGACACGCCCATTTCTTGGGTCCAGAAGTTTCTGTTCTTATCTTACTGGCGGGAACCCTGAATGTCGAGACGCTTTGGCATAACTATGCCATGTTAATAATTACCTAATTGACTGGACTTTTATATAAATAATTTTGAGACTAAACTTACAAACAGCCCTATACCTTCCTCTTGTGACTCCGCATAGCAATACGGGACGGATTAGTCCATCTCATTTAATCTATTCTTATAGCTTGGAAAATCCGCCTAAAAACCAGCTATTATTATTTTCCTGATAACTTATTCTTGGAATTCCTACGTTCTTTGGAATCCATTTTGCGCGTTATTTGAAATATCGATTTTTCTCTTTATACTAGATGCTCAACATGGCGCCGACAGTTTCAGTGAACTTGTTAAAAAATATTGCTAAATTTCTCCGAAGGACGACGCTACCTCCTTGAAAACTCTTAACTTTCGATAATTTGGGTTGACTGAAATATTTTACTTTTTGGCCCATCCGTTTCGAGAACTAACAAATAAATTACTACGCGTCCCGGCTTTTGTTACGATTTAAAAAAGATTCACCAAAATCTAGATTAGTTTTGCGTCGAC